CTCCTCTCTCTCTCTCAAATCAATTTAAAAACAAGTCTTTGATAAAAATCAGCTTTCAGAAAGCCATCAAACTTCTGCCAGGCATGGCCATGGATAACAGGACTTTGAACTCAGAGTGGCAGCAGATTTGTTCTCAGTGGGAACTGAAGACCTAACTAGCAGTGGTTTTGATCATCAGTAACTCTGAGCCTCAATCATGCCTATAACTTGGGTCTTGGTGGATTGTAAGAGATCCAAGTCTATTTCCTTTCTGTACCATTGTGTCTCCTGGTGAGCTTAAATACAAAACAAGATAGTTTGAACCTCTTAGCAGGTATGTCTCAAATATATAGAGGAGATTGAGAGTTCTGGCTTTAAAGTCACCAACCTGATTAAATCTAGGCTCTGCTACGTCCTAGCTGTGTGACCTTGGATAAGTAGTTTATTCTCTGAGTCTCAGTTCCTTCAACTGTAAATTGAAGGGAATAATAGTACCCCCTCCTAAGATAAGGCAATGGTGTCTGTAAAGCACAGTTACTGGCACACAGTATTATGAAATGATAGACTTTTAAGTGTTATCAAAATGTATTACTATAAAGTTAAATGTAATATTATTTGAGGTGGCTCTATATTCTACTTTTCTCATTGCTTCCATATTCTGTGTGTGTATTCATTGTTGCATTCTCTATTCTTCAAAATTATTTTCCAGGAGATTGAAGAGATACCTGGAGGATGAGGCCGAGGTGTCAGGGAGTGATGTGGGAAGTGAAGACGAGTATGATGGGGAAGAGATTGATGAATATGAAGAGGACGTAATTGATGAAGTACTTCCTTCTGATGAGGAACTACAGAGTCAAATCAAGAAAATACACATGTCAGTATCCCAACAAGCCCTTCCAAGTAATGGGATATGTCTTAAGGCAGCCCTATAGTCAGCCAGAGTGGTGCTCGATTTGAACACCATTACTTCTCCTGTTGTAGGAAAACAATGTTGGATGATGATAAGCGACAGCTCCGTTTATACCAAGAGAGGTACCTTGCTGATGGGGATCTGCACAGTGATGGTCCTGGACGAACGAGGAAATTTCGATGGAAAAACATAGGTATCTTGGTGGTTGTCTTTTTTTTTTAATTGATTTTAGAGAGGAAGGGTGAGGGAGAGAGAGAG